AGGGTGCTGGTTAGAGCTGCTCGGAGCGCTGCCAGCTCCTTTGGTTCCTCTGATCCCAGGTGGGTGGGTGCTCCCCGTGGGAGCAGGTGGGAAGAGTCTCATCGTCCCGCAAGGAACTTGGTGGCGCGCAGAGAGATGTCGTTGGCAAAGCAGGTTGGGGTTTTTTTTGAGGCGGTTCCTTGCTGCTCCCCTTGAATTTGCCTTCCCCTCGTCGCACCAAACCCGGTGCCTGCCACGCCGCGTTTGTGCTTCTCGACCGGAGCATCAGGGCAAGGGCTGGAGGAGGACGGGAGGTCTCATCCTGGAGTGTCGGCAGTCATCGTGCCCTGCACAGACACCTTCAGGCTATTAGGTCTGACTTAAATCCGATGGGAAAAAGCTGCTTTTTGGGTTTGCTTGGGCTGGACGGGTGGCACGGGCGCCTCTCGCCTTGGGGAAGGCGGGTGCTGCAGAGCTGAGCTTCGGGCAAACCTGCTGAGATACCCTCCCAGCTAGTTTGAGCGGTGGAGCGGGTCTGCCGGCCCACCCGCGGGGTGGATCCGGCCCCTCGTGACAGCAGAGACAGGCTCTGCCGTGAAGGAAAATGCCAGAATGTGTTGCAAGGTTGGATTTGAAGTCCTTTGGATGGTTTTACGTGTTGTTTTGAAAACTCTGGATCCTTTGGCTGAGCGACCGGCCCAAGCACCATCTTCCTTCCGTTAACTGCAGAATTACCAGAAGGAGATTTTTCAGCTCTGTGGACTGCAGGGGAAAAAAAAAAGTTTCTTCAGCTTCTTTTACCTTCTCACGTCGTTTTTCCCCGGTTCGTTACCACGAGCGACAAACCAGACGTGACGTTTCGCTTCGGGAACGATTCTGTGCCCCTCTTGTTACTGCGCACAGCTCCGCGAAAGCGGCCACCGCTCCAAGAAAGGCATCGACTGGAAAATTCTTCTTAATCCACACGTTAAAGAAGCAGCAGGAGCTCTCTCAGAGGGTTTCTGGCTCTGAGCCATCTTTCGTGAGAGTCTTCCACGTGTTTGGAGCCTCTTTGCCCCTCCTGGGTGCTTCCGTGGCCGCACGGTGTGTTTATCCCTAAAATGTTTTGCCTCTGCGAGGAGGTCAAACTGATCAACTGAGCCAAGACTTCTAGAACTCCTTCCCTGACACCGTCGGGATGCAGGGACGTCGTGCGGACGCTTGGCCTTCGTGCCTTCCCTCCTGAGGGACAATCAAAGGCGGAGAGGAGGTCAGGACGTCAAGCTCCGAGCTGGACCAGCCTTGTTTCTCCACCTTCACGAAGCAGAACGAGAATCTTCTCAGCTGCGGTTTTGCTTTGTTGCTTTTCTCAGCCGTTGTTTTTTATTTTTCTCAGCGCGGCGGCTGAGAGGTCGGGGCGCGAGGACGCTTTGGGAAGCGAGACATCGCTATGTAGGTTCCTGATGATGTCGGTTTTCTGCGATGGGACTTTGTGACCAGGAGGTGACTTGGGAAAAGGGAGGATCCTTCCGATCCCAGAGAGCTGCTCCCTGCCTCGTTGGGCTTACCGAGAGCTAGGACATCCCTCTGCTAGGGAATTGCTCCAAGGAGCCTTGGCCAAGCGCTGGAATTTCGAGCCGTAGATCAGGTGCCTTCGGTCTGTCCTCTAAAAAAACTCTTCACTGTGAATTCTCTCCATCATCTCTCTTCACATTCACCGGAGCCGTCTCCGTGCTCGGTTTATCTGAAGTCTCAGGAGTTTTACGCTTTTCAGGAGTGCCTCGTTTGGGGATTTTAGTAGCTAAAATCTCTCCGAAATGTTGTTGTTTTTTTTTTTCCTGTTGTTTTCTTTGGCGTGAGGGGTTTTCCGGTACCGAACGAGCCGGGAGATCGCAGGTAACGTGCAAGTTCAGGACGGTCGCTGGGTTGAAATCTTTATGAGCTGGGGTGCGGATCTCTGAGCCCTTTCCTTTTCCACATACTTGGTGCGATGGAAATGAAGTCAGAATGACACCTAGTGGCAAATTATCCTCGTTCCCGCTCTTTCTGGGCAAGATGTGTATCCCGGGGAGACACAGATTTAAGGAGCAAAAGGAATTACGGCGCTTTGCCTTTCGGAACTTAGCGGTACTGTGTGAAACAACCCCGTCCCTTTGCCCCGAGGGGCTGGCTGCTCTCCTGGGAGAGAGAATTACGGCTTCAAAGAACGCGGCCTGTTGAATCCTTGGTTATTATTTTATTTTTAATTTTTTTTTTGAGAGTTGAATGTGAAAAAGGTCTTCCAGAAGTAACGTTCCATGGTCGACGGGCTTGCGTCCAGATTTTTGAGGACGTAATGTAGTTTTTCTGTGCGTTTCTCTGCTTTCTCATACCCTGCTCCCTGCTCCGGTCTCCTTTTTTCCCCCCAAGCATCTGGCTGAAGTACTAACGGAGCCAACCCCTAGATAATGCAGAAACTGGAAGAGGAATCGTGGCTTAACTGGGTGGCAGCCCCTGCTGGAGCTGTGGTGAGTCGTGGAGCATCCGTACAGCACTGTGCAGGCGGGAGAAGGCTCACTTCGAGGATGATCTTGTACCATTTAGGGGCTACATTCTGATTTTAGGTGATGATTCTCAAGATTCGGAGGGTTCGAAGCGGCGTGAAGGAGAATTAGACTTGATTTAGTTTTCAGAGCAAGGCGTAGCAACACCAAGATTGGCTTCGAGGGAGGGGAGAGTTATCTGTAAGCAGCAGCGTGTCCCAGGGGAGCCCCGGGGTTTATCTCCCGGCCTCTCACCTGCTCACCTCCATCCTGGAAAAAACCACAAAGTGCCTGAGCCGGTGTTGGATACCCAGCCCGAAGCTGCTCGCCCTGCTCACGGGAGGGTTTTTTGGTGCTTTTTTTGACCACTCAAGTCTTCTCTTTTCAGCCTGGATGAAGAACGCGGCTCCGGGGCGCTCCGTGTCTGACCGTGCAGCCGATTTGCCCCCCTGCAAAAACAAAAAAAAAGCAAAAAAAGGGAAGCAAGGGCATCCTGGAGCCGCTCGCCGCCGTTGCTGATTCCGTCGTGTCGTTTGTCGTCGGGAGGAGACCCTCCGCGGCCCCGCGGAGGCGG